ATTTTCCCACTCTCTTGGCCCTCATGATGTCTTAAGAGTTAAACCAATGAAACTGCCTTTTAAAACACCTTGGGATAAATCAGAAGACCTCACGCACCCACCATCAAACACTCCTAGCTTCAAAGTTCCATCTTTTTTTCTCAGCAGGTACCATTGTAAATAAAAATGAACTAGGGGCCAAAATGCAAAACCAAAAATGAAGCAGCTATGTATAGTTAGTAATTTCTAGTTTAAACTGTAACTGAACATTGTGGCTTCATATGTATTATTTTATATTGTACTTTTCCCATTACTGATGGTTTGGACTTTAATAAGAGAAATTCCATAGTTTTTAATATCGAAAATGAGAGTATTTGAAGTGTATTCTAGAAAGCAAGATACTAACTGAAGTGAATGCTTGTATATATTAAGATAGAGCCTTAAATTTTTCTCTCTAATGCCTTAACTGTCAAATAATTAAGACTTTTGAAAGCCTAGGATTGTAGTCAGCATGCTGGACCAAGCGGTAGACACTAAAGCCGTTATAGCAGGTACTGATACTGTCAGTGTTCAGCACTGTGTGTTTAGCTGTGTTTATGCTAAAAAGTGCAATATTAGACACTAGCTAGTTAGTACGGCTGTCTCCTACAACTCCAGAGAGGAAAACAGGATTTGATAAAGTGCACACGTGTCTTTAAGGTACCCCTGTTGTCCTTGGTTTGGATGCAATGCTCTGCAGATTCCTGTGGCTGCTATTTTTATTTCCTTTGCGTTACTTTGATTAACACCTTGAACGGAGAGCCAAACATTCCCTCTTCCCGGGACCAGCCACGGCCCTCTAACTGCAGTAGGAAAAAAACCAAATACCATTTGGTGTGAAAATTGGTGACACCTGGCACTTAAGATCAGAAAAAGAGTTGTTTATACTTGATGCCTTAAGATGCTGTCTGCCCAAAGCTCTGAAAGACTTTAAGAAAGTAATACCACACTACTGAGTTTTCGTAGAATTGTTACATTTGATAATAAAACCCACCTGTTTAATCTCAAAGTGTGTGTGCTTTTTTTTATTCCTGGAAGAGTTGGGGTCATGGCGGGAGGGCATGGGTAAGCCATCTTTTTCCGAGGTGGTAGGGTTTTTTCTGTTTGCCATAAGGATTTGTAAAAGCCACCAAGGATAAATGCACTCCAGATATAGTTCAAACAACCACACTTTTTTTTAAGATTGATTTATTTGACAGAGCACAAGCAGGGGGAGTGGCAGGCAGAGGGGGAAGCAGGCTAACTGCTGAGCAGAGAGCCCGATGTGGGGCTTGATCCCAGGACCCTGAGATCATGACCTGAGTCAAAGGCAGACGCTTACCCAACTGAGCCACCCAGGTGCCCCCAAACAACCATCCTTTAAAAACATAAATCACTGAAACTTTGATTTTGAAACGTTTAACTGTTAAAGCAGTCAGATCATTTTGTCCTTGCATTTTATTACTGGTGCTCTACTTGACAATTTAAAAACCTAATGTAAGCCACAGAAAACTAAGAAGACGTAGCACTTTGTTTCTGAACCCCACACAGTCCTTTATTCCAATTACTCTTTCTTTGCCCATATGGAGTTGTGCAATATTCTCAAATCCAAATTCTTTCCAGTCTTCAGGCTACAGTCAAGTCTTGGCTGAGGTCTGCTATTTCAGAACTGTTGTGTATTGTCAGGATCACTTGACATACATAATCTTGTTACAGAGCTCAAGTGTATCAATTCTGAATTTAGATTACAACCTCACGGCAGGAAGTATACCTGTATTTCCCTCTGTCTAGCATATTTCCGTTCACTCTGCCCTTGTGAAGCATTCACAGGATAGGAAGTTTAGTTCACCTGGAAAGTTTTTCAGTCCCGGCGATTGCCAATGTCATTTAAAAAAATGGAGTCATTGCTTTCAGGTTTGTACTTCACCTTTGGGTGTCTCTGCCATCATCCACAAGGAGGTGGCAGAGTTCTCTAGGCAAGCTGAGATTCTGATCCACATTCTCTTGTCTCTGGCAGGCTTTTAACATTGCCCAGTCTATTCCCTGCCTTAACCAAAATGTTGCCTGTGCTAAACTTGTTTTTCTATTTACCTCCCTGAGATAGCACACATGTAGCTGATATTCCCATGGCAGATAAAAAATAGGATGTGGAGTAAGGGAAGGAAGAAAAAATGAGCACAAAGAAGACCAGAATATGTAAAAGACCTTAAAGGTCCATCTCTTAGGTTTATAGCTGATTACACAATTTCTCATCTCCCTACTTTCCCCAGCTATTGGGGACATAAAAGTAGAATGATGAACACTGCACCCTTTACCCAGCTTCAACAATGATGAACTCCAGGCCCATCTTGCTTTATATCCCTTTCCATTTTCCCCATTGTATTATTTTGAAGCAAATCCTTTGGGTCAAGTCTAAAATGGATCCTCCAAGGTGCTTGGCTGGCTCAGTAGGAAGAGCGTGGGACTCTTGATCTTGCGGTCGTGAGTTCGAGTCTCATTTTGGGTAGACGTTACTAAATAAATGGGCACCTGGGTGGCTCAGTCGTTAAGCGTCTTCCTTCGGCTCAAGTCATGATCCCAAGGTCCTGGGATTGAGCCCTACATCGGGGTCCCTGCTCCGCGGGAAGCCTGCTTTTCTTCTCCCTCTCCCACTCCCCCTGCTTGTGTTCCCTTTCTCTCTGTCAAATAAATAAAATCTTTAAAAAAATATTGATCTCCAAATTTAAAATTAAGCCACTGTAGGAGGTGATGTTCTTGAGAAGAGTAGAAGAATAGAACTGAACTGGTTGGCGGGTTGGGGGGGCCCGCCTGGATGGCTCAGTTGGTTAAGCGACTGCCTTCGGCTCAGGTCATGATCCTGGAGTCCCGGGATCGAGTCCCACTACGGGCTGGAGTCTGTCTCTCCCTCTGACCCTCCCCCCTCTCATGCGCTCTCTCTCATTCTCTCTCTCAAATAAATAAATAAAATCTTAAAAAAAAAAACGGGTGGGGATGCCTGGGTGGCACAGTTGGTTAAGTGTCTGACTTAGGCTCAGGTCATGATCTTGGGGTCTGGGATCAAGACTTGTGTGGAGCCCCATGCAGAGTCCTGTGTCAGGCTCTGTGCTCAGTGGAGTTGGCTTCCCCCTCTCCTTCTGCCCCTGCCCCTGCCCCTGCTCATGCACGCGCTCTCTCTCTCTCAAAGAGATAAATAAAATCTTAAAAAAAAACAAAAACAAAAACTGGGGATGCCCGAGTGGCTCAGTTGGTTAAGCCTCTGCCTTCTGCTCAGGTCATGATCCCAGGACCCTGGGATGGAGCCCCACATTGGACTTCTTGCTCAGCGGGGAGCCTGCTTCTCCTCTGCCTGCTGCTCCCCCTGCTTGTGCGCTCTCTCTCTCTCTCTCCGTCTCTGACAAATAAATAAACTTTGAAGACCAGAAGGCCACCAGGATGAAATTTGGAAATAAGAGCACTGAGTGGGAGCCTTAAGGAGAAAACCGTTTTTCTACATTTTTACTGCTTCGTTTGTGTTGAGTGAGATAGTAAAAGCCAAGATACCAAAGTGTTGGCCTAGGGAAAAAAGGTTCAGAAGCAAATTACTTGACTTGCCCCAATCTCAGACCTAAATTTTGTCCTTATTTCATTGTAGTTCAACACAATTCCATTATATGGGATGTGGAGGGATATTTGGAGCCAAAAACCAAGCTGGAACTCATTACATGGGAAGAATATACTGTAAACTACAACAAAACAAGCACTGAGAATGTGTATGTCCAACAATAATAAGCATTATATTGGTTAAATGAATCTTCATAACAACCTATTATAGTAGGTACTGCTATTATGATAGACTAGGAAATGGTCAAGTAAAACTTCACATTGCACAGAAAGTAAAGGAAGGGATGTGGAAAATTAGATTTGGAGACTGGATGACGTGGTTAATACTCTCATAGCTGCTCCCTTATCCGCTTTGGCTCTTTTTCCGAGCCCAGCACAAATACCTTTCGTTGTTTATAGTGTCACAAAGTTGGGCTCCAGAGTATTCCTTGAGTCTGCCTTTCTACTTTATTGCCAGCATGCCACTAATTCAGCACCTGAATTATTCAGTAGCTGCATATTGTTGCTGTTCTGAAAGTGAATGTAGATAAATGAGTAACAAAGCTTCTGGTTACACACTTGAATTTGAGGCAGTGTTTTATAACCGCAACCTGTATGATAGTAGAATTAAACACCAAAAACAGGGGTGCCTGGGTGGCTCAGTTGGTTAGTGTCTGGCTTCCACTCAGGTCGTGATCCCAGGATTCGATGCTCTGCGGGAAGCCTGCTTCTCCCCCTCCCACTGCTGCTCCCCCTGCTTGTACTCTGTCAAATAAGTAAATAAATAAAATATTTAAACACCAAAAACGGGTGCCTGGGTAGCTCAGTCATTAAGCATCTGCCTTCAGCTCAGGTCATGATCCCAGGGTCCTTGGATCGAGCCCGGCATCGGGCTCCCTGCTCTGTGGGAGGCCTGCTTCTCCCTCTTCCACTCCTCTGCTTGTGTTCCCTCTCTCTGTGTGTCAAATGAGTAAATAAAATCTTTAAAAAAAAAAAAACACCAAAAACACATTTTAAAAAATTAATGGAGGGGCGCCTGGGTGGCTCAGTTGGTTAAGTGTCCAACTCTTGATTTTGGCTCAGGTCATGATCTCATGGATTGTGAGATTGAGCCCCAAGATGGGCTCTGTGCTGAGCGTGGAGTCTGCTTGAGATTCTCTCTCCCTCTCTCTCTCTAAAATAAATAAAAAATTTTAAAATTTTTAAAAAAATCAATGTGGGGGTGCTTGAGTGGCTCAGTCGTTAAGCGTCTGCCTTCAGCTCAGGTCATGATCCCGGGGTCCTGGGATCAAGCCCCACATCGGGCTCCCTGCTCTGCGGGAAGCCTGCTTCTCCCTCTCCCACTCCCCCTGCTTGTGTTCTCTCTCTCGCTGTCTCTCTCTGTCAAATAAATAAATAAAATCCTTTTTAAAAAGTCAATGTGAATCGCTTCTCAGCCTTTTGGCTAAGATCAGGAGTAGTATCTGTTCCTATCAGTTTAATATCTGATATGTCTTCTATCCAAGGACAATATATTAAATGGACTTTTGGAGTAGGGAGACTACAGGAGTTTGCTCTGTCCACTCCACACATCAACCTGGTATTGCAGTACTTCCAGGAATGGTGCACCTGCCTCCAAGGCAACAGTAGAAAAAAAAAAATCAATGTGAAATTCTCAGCTTATTCTGCTTCTAGCCCCCCTGGTGATTCATCCTTTCCTGCCTGGTGGTATTTCTCACAGTTCCTTCCTCAGCTACCTTTTCCTTCTATTCATTCTCTGGGCAAACTCATTTTCTTCCACACTCTTCTGTGGAGCTACAGACTTCTGTATCCAACACTATAATGGACATTTCCATCTGGACATCTCCCCTGGCAATTCAAATTCGACATGCTTAAAACAGAACTTCTCTCTCTATGATCTCTATGATCTGCTACTCCTGTATTCTTTTTACTTCAGGAAGCAGTGCCGCATACCACTGGATGCCAAAGTTAAGAAAGTCATTCTTTAACTTCCTCTTTCACGGGTTTTTGCCTCAATACTGCACTCCATGTATCAAATTCTGCTTTCTTCTATTGCCGAAATGCTTTTTAGAAAACCTTTTTAAATGACCACAGATCTGATTATATGTTCTTTAAAGATTTTATTTATTTATTTGAGAGAGCAAGAGAGAGTGTGAGTGGTGGGGGGTGGAGGGGAATGGCAGGGGGAGGGATAGAGGGAGAGACAGAGGATTTCAAGCAGATTCTGCACTGAGCACGGAGCCCAACATGAACTGAAACAGAGTCAGACACCTACCAGCTGAGCCACCCAGGAGCCCCCAATTACATGTTCTTTAAAAAAAAAAAAAAGAGAAGCAGTAATTGAGGTATGACTGAGATACGAAAAGCTGCCCATATTTAACATATACAAACTTGATGAACTTGGAGTTAAGTATACACAGGTGAAACCATAACCACAATCCATGCCACAAATATCCATCCCCTCCAAAAGTTTCCTCCTGGCCTCTTTATTTTTCAATGTGTGTGATAATAACACACATAATGATTACATGTTCTTAAAAATCTTCTGATTGAAGGTTCCCATTTGCTGTAGGAAAAAACCCACACATGTATGGCTGAATGATATTGCATGGGCTGAGCATTTTTCAAGGCACTCGTTTCGTGTGCTACATTTTGTTGTACTTTTTCTAATTCTTTGCCATCTTTGAAACAATTTTTTCCCCTCTTACTCCTCTCTTCACTAACTGCTACTCAGAAATAGTTTTCTGAGGAGGGTGTTTCCTGATTCACTGAGATCTCCCTGTAACCAGCTCCCCATACATCGTAACTTTCATCAGAGCAGTGTGTATCTTCTTCCCCACTTCCTTAGTGACTAGCTTGTGCTTGGGATATATATACAATAACTGTTTGTTGAATGAACAAGTTTATGTTCATTCCTGAAGGTGAAAACTAAAGTGATTCTTAAAAAAAAAAGTACATACAGCTTTAAGAATTTTTATAAATTTAAATGTTGCTAAACAGCAAAAATTGTTTTTCTTTAGTACCATTAAAAATCTTAAAATGAGGGGCGCCTGGGTGGCTCAGTCTGTTAGGCAGCTGCCTTCGGCTGGAGTCATGATCTCAGGGTCCTGGGATCCAGCCACACACGGAGCTCCCTGCTCAGCGGGGAGTCTGCTTCTCCCTCTGCGCCCCCCCAACCCCTGCTCATGCTCTCTCTCTCTCTCTCTCTCAAATAAATAAAAATCTTTTTAATATGTTAAAATGTATTAATTGAGTTATTAATGGTATGCTTTTTATATTGGAGTACATATCCAAAGAGAGAGTTTGGTATAAAATTTACCTACACTTGATGATTTCGGCTGCTTCTGCCATCTACTGGACATGTAGTGCTGCTGGCTCAGCAGAATCCTAGTCTCAGCCAGAGTGTTTATCTAAGACTGCAATAGGATTCTAAAAATTTATCTATATTTAAGTCATGGGATAATTGATGTGGTTTTTTTTACTGTATTTAAAAAATAAATGTCATGCCAATTCCCTCTATTACATATTTCATAAATTGTTATATTGCTAAGTCATAATTTTGGTGGGAAACAATCTTCCCCCCCAAAATCGTTATGCTCTTTTGGTTTTAAGATCCCTATAATTTGGAAGTGTGATTAGTTCTCCACACGGCAGGTCTAGATATGCCTGATAAATCATCTGCACTGGCTGTTTGAGAAGTAGTTCAGTGGTAGCTCCAAGGCTGCACTAGGCCAAACCAGGTCTGGCCTGAGCCCTTGATAGCCCAGCAAAACAGCAGAAACAACTTCATGTGTTGGGGCTTTAGAGTGACAGATTTTGTTTCTAAATTAGTGCAATTGAAGTACTCAGAGTCCACCTACTATCTAACTGCCTTCCTTCATCATAAGAAAGAATTTAATCTGTTAATTACATGTTCCCAGAAGGCCTGAAAGCAATCAATGCTAGGTGGCTTTGACTGGGGTAGTCTCAATCCATATAAATGGAACTGCCAGAGTTAGCAAAAACAAAACACCAAGCCAAACTGAAGAAAAAAACCAAATACTCAATTAAATGGGAATTTCAGACAACAACAGATAATTTTTAGTATTAAATATGGCTCAATATTACATGGGACATAGTTACACTAAAGTGTCCTGTATTTTATCTGGCAACTCTAATATAATCCATTTTCACAAATATTTAGAGGGCTTACTATCTGAAAGAAGAGAGGAAAGAATCTTGGTACAAAGTCAGCAACCTGTGTCTACTAAAATAGAAGCTTTGCTGGGAAAATCTCAATAATAGACCACGAAGTTCCAATAATGTTTTGCTTTTTTTTTGTTAAGATTTTATTTGAGAGAGAGAGTGAGCGAGAGAGAGAGAGAGAGAGCAGGAGTGGGAAGAGGTAGAGGGAGAAGAAGCAGACTCTCCGCTGAGCAGGGAACCCCATGCCGGGCTCGATCCTAGGACCCTCAGGATCATGACCTGAGCCGAAGGCAGCCACTCAACCGACGAGCCACCCAGACACCCCTGTTTTGCTTTTATTAATGAGCATTGTTTCATACGACCAGTTTGGTCAAAAATCTCTTCCTAGAGGAGTTTTAACTCTAGAAAAAACTGAACTTTAGAAAATCTAAGATGTCTAATATGTCCAATTAAAAAATATTTAAATAGAACACACATTTTTAAAAAAGATTGTACCTATTTGGGAGAGAGGGAGAGAGAGCACAAGCAGGGGGAAGAGGGCCCCCAACATGGGGCTCAATATTGGGGCTGGATCCCAGGACCCTGGGATCATGTCCTGAGCCAAAGGCAGATGCTTGACAGAGCCACCCAGATACCCCTAAATAGAACATACATTGTTTAATGTATCCCACGTGGGAGGATTATACATTTCACGGTTTGACCCTGTTAGTTTGTATGATTGTCACCCCCCCAGTCAGTGGAAAAGGACAGCAAGTCCTTATGATGAGTGACAATAGGGCAAATGTATTCAGGAGGCATGGAAGCTCAGTTTCAAACAATGAGGAACAAGTGAGGCCAGCTTGAGAAGCAACTCTGGGAGCAACTGACAGTATAAACCTTGACCCCTCTTCTAAAGAAAAGGCACATTTCCCTGTGCTCATATTGATCTCATATTGATCCAAAATCACAATCAGAATTAGTGAACAAAATAGCTTCAAATCAAGGGATAGGGGCGCCTGGGTGCCTCATTCCTTAAGCGTCTGCCTTCAGCTCAGGTCATGGTCCCAGGGTCCTGGGATCAAGCCCTGCATTGGGCTCCCTGCTCAGCCGGAAGCCTGCTTCTCCCTCTTCCACTCTCCCTGCTTGTGTTCCCTCTCTCGCTGTGTCTCTCTCTGTCAAATAAATAAATAATCTTTTAAAAAAAATCAAGGGATAGTTCTCATGGATAGTGCAGAATACACGATTTATGTTGGTCTTCTAAGTCCCACCTACAGCTGATACTAGCTATTATCATTAACTTTTAAGTCAATTCTCAAAATATTTGTCTATAATGTGTTTTCAAAGACTTGAAAGTATGAGGATCAAACACGACCAAAATACAAGCCAGAATATAATGGCAGTAAGGGTGTTACATGTTTTCAAAAACAAATTGATCGCATTTGGTTCGGACTTCACAAAAGAGATGGTGTCTGAGAATAATATAAATATGTTGTTAACCAATGGATAACCAAGGCTTTATTACATAATAAAGATAAAATAAAATTCCATGTCTTTAATAGGAGAAAAGATGAACTGATGCAAAGATTTACTAATTCTGTTCTGTTACTAAGATGAAACATTTGATAGAAGGATGTTTTTGAAATAGGCTTTGCCTGTATTTTTTTTTGTTTGTTTGTTTCAAGTAGGTAAGTCCTCAGGGGCTTTTATTTTATATTCTTCTCATATCTTGGCAGCATACTATACTTGGCATACAAAAAGCACATGATTAATTTCAAGATAGGAACCTCAGGAATTATCTTCAACTCATCATGTATCACATCCAATTTGTCATCAGGTGCTGTAGATTTTATCTCCAGCATCCTTTGAGTCCATTCGCCTTGAACATTTCCATGACCTTATTCCAAGTCTTTATTCCTTACCCAGTTTACTACAATAGCTCCATTTCCATGACTTAATTTCTTAAAACAAAGAAATTTTATATCACTCCCTAAACATATCCATTGCATAGAGAAGGGATCCTCAAACTTCCAGAGGTAGCAGAAAATCATACGGTTTCTTTGAGAGCATATTGTAAATGAAAGAGCATTTGAGAAAATGAGAGGTCTTTAGGTCAAGGTGAGGCAAAAGGCAATGAAAGGACCCTTCAAATTTTGGACTGGAAACTAGCAGTCCATTATTGCAGTGGTAAAATAATCAAGTTATCATCAGAAGTGATCTTTGGACCATGCATCCACTACTCATGCCCGCTGCCATCTGGAAGCAGCTGGTATTAGAGAATTATGGATTGACCTACTGAAAACTCAGGTATAATGCCTGCTGCAAGGCAACATCTTGAGCACTTAGGGTTCTATCTTTTGGGATTATGTATATGTTTTGGAAAAAAATGGCCTATTTCTCTCAGAGCAAAATGAGAGATTGGGGGGAAACAGAATGTTCCACTCTCATTATC